GCAACATCATCATAGCTGGCTCGCTCACTTAGGGCATCGCCCATGCTTATCATGCGATCGGCAACGATCTTGACGCGTTGGCCAAGCTCGGTCACGATGTCCTTAGTCCCTTGTGATAGCTGCATGGCCGCGTTCGCAGCCTGCGTACACGTGCTACTCACATGGACGCATTGTTCGTATTTGGCCCTCCACGAGTTAACCTCAGTGGAGAGCTGCTTGATGCATTGATCACTTCTATCATTCCTACGCCCAAGGTCTTCGACCTTAGCAACCAGGCGATGAATGATCGCACTTACCGAAGAATCCACCGTCCCTCTTTCAAGGGCTGTCACAAGATCAGCAACCTCGTTGGGTTGCTCCTCACTCGCAGGACCATATCCTGATCCGCGATCTCGAGGAGTGGACAAATCGACCATGATTGGATTAGATCTCGGAGGAGTTCTGAAATCATCCTGGACGGCCGTTGATGGCCGTGGGAACTCACTCCGATTAGGAGATTGACTCTGATACGGAGCAGACCTTCTTGCATCACGAACCGCAGAGGGTTGTGTCATGCCCAGGCCTTTGGCAACGGACAGCTTAGGAACAACAGGCCTATCCGTTCGCATAGGAACATCAGGTCTCGAGTCAGCAATAACAATGTCATTCAAGTCGGTCGCATTGGACACCCTAGACTCAGACATCGATTCAATATCAGTTCCATTACTGATGGTATGATTGCGACTAGAACTTGATGCCATCATGGACTCAGATTCTATCGGAACATTAGCTCCGTCCATATTGTCCAGAGCGAAAATGGAAGCCGCGTTGGGCGTAGGGTGAACACTTCGCATGTTCAAGCCACTAGACCTATTAAATTCCTCCTGGAATGCCTCGATCCCATCAAGCACGTTAACGAGTGTGTCCGCGTTTAACGGGTCTCTTCCAATGATTGACGCTGGGTCACCTGATCGGCCGCGTCCTGAGTCCCGCGCACTGGGGTTACCCCTGTGAGCAGTTTCCCGATCCATCCCCCTTGCCCTATGCGATCCAGTCGAATTTGACCTTGATCGTTTGCTTGGGGTTGGACTGGGATGCAAATCCAATCTATCTACGATATTACGCTCCCTAGGGCTCTCAAATCCCGAAAGTCCCGGGGGAGGAGACATGTTCCTCATGGTCGGGTTTACTGACGGTCTTGGCCTGACGTTGCGGCTGGCCACATCAGGATTGAGATTCTCAATCGACAAAGGTAGCATGAATTCATCACTTCCAGCAGCTCGTTTTGGGCTCTGGAAATGCGGGAAAGATGACGGGGCGGGTGGCCCTGGCATCCATGCGGCAAAATCCATACCAAAAATGTTTCCGTCGTTGGGCCATGAGGCTCTCCAATCGAGTCCACCGGATTCGGTCGGCAGATGAGCGTCAAATGCAACTCCACTGGATGTACCAGGTTCGGGATTACCGAGCGCTTGAAAAACTATACTGCTGGTTGGCACAGGTCTACTGCTACTTCGAGAGTCACGAAGCTCGGACTGACCAATATTCATCAGCTCCGGGAAAGATGAGGATTGAGCTCCAGGTGCAATACCGGGCTCGTCATCATCACGTCCTGAGACGGAATCATCATGGTCAGGACGATTAGCCCCATGACCCTGAGAGCGATTAGCTCTTGAAGCATTAGACGATAGCTCATCAGTGCGAGTAGCACTGGATCTTCCTGAAGGCATTGCTTCTGAAAAAGAGTGGTCCGACAAAAAGTCAGGACCGGAAAACATCGGCTGTCCGGGCACTTGGTCGTCATTCACAACGTCCAAGATTCCGGCCTGGCCGAGAACCCACTCATCGGTTACCACATGAGGTCCATCCTCGGTGATTCCCGCCATGAGTCCTACAGTAGCCTATGGAAAACGGCGCCTGCAGGGTTGTTATTAAATGGGGTTCGCGGTGCCAACCGAGGACGAATCCTACGGCTGATAACCTGCGAAAGGGTTTGAAACAGTATTTCGGGAGAGAATAAACAGGCCCAATCCCACCAACAAGAAGAGATTGTTTAAGTCCCCCAGTCCCAAGGGCAAAGCGGTGCCCCCGGCTGGCCAAACACGAACCAAAACAGGGTGCCAGTTGTAACAAGATAAAGAAGCCCAGCAAGGGCAGAGACAACCGAAAGCAAGCACAAAGCAGCAAACCAAGCAGGCAAACAAAGCAGCGCAGCGAGCAAGCAAAGCAAACCAAATGCGCACCGTTCCCAAACCCAAGTCCTGACCAATCACCAGCAACACCAACACCAACCAGGGGAGGGCCGCGGCACCTTTTGTCGCGGAGCTCGAGGTCGCCGTGTTGGGGCGCCGACGCAATTGCAAGCGGGTTCGCCGGAACGAAAAGCTTGAGCCAAATGGCGCATTGGCCATGGCAATAATCAAACATGCTATGATAAACGTACATGCCCCCAAAAAACACAACCAAACAACAACCAAACAACAACCAAACAACAACCAAACAACAACCAAACAACAACCAAACCAACCAAACAACAACCAAACAACAACCAAACAACAACCAAACAACAACCAAACAACAACCAAACAACAACCAAACAACAACCAAAAAACAACAACCAAACAACAACCAAACAACAACCAAACAACAACCAAACAACAACCAAACAACAACCAAACAACAACCAAACAACAACCAAACAACAACCAAACAACAACCAAACAACAACAACAACACAAACAACAACAACCAAACAACAACCCAACAACAACAACAACAAAACAACCCAACAACAACAACCAACAACAACAACCCAACAACAACAACCCAACAACAACAACCCAACAACAACAACCCAACAACAACAACCCAACAACAACAACCCAACAATCACAACCCAACAACAACAACCCAACAACAACAACAACAACAACAACAACAACAACAACAACAACAACAACAACAACAACAACAACAACAACAACAACAACAACAACAACCACCACCACCACCACCACCACCACCACCACCACCACAACCACAACAACAACAACAACAACAACAACAACAACAACAACAACAACAACAACAACAACAACAACAACAGCAACACACAACAACAACAACAACAACAACAACAACAACAACAACAACAACAACAACAACAACAACAACAACAACAACAACAACAACAACAACAACAACAAAACAACAACAACAACAACAACAACAACAACAACAACAACAACAACAACAACAACAACAACAACAACAACAACAACAACAACAACAACAACAACAACAACAACAACAACAACAACAACAACAACAACAACAACAACAACAACAACAACAACAACAACAACAACAACAACAACAACAACAACAACAACAACAACAACAACAACAACAACAACAACAACAACAACACACAACAACAACAACAACAACAACAACAACAACAACAACAACAACAACAACAACAACAACAACAACAACAACAACAACAACAACAACAACAACAACAACAACAACAACAACACACAACAACAACAACAACAACAACAACAACAACAACAACAACAACAACAACAACAACAACAACAACAACAACAACAACAGCAGCAGCAGCAGCAGCAGCAGCAGCCGCCGCCGCCGCCGCAGCAACAAGAAGAAGAAGAAGCAGCAGCAGCAGCAGCAAGCAGCAAGCAGCAAGCAGCAAGCAGCAAGCAGCAAGCAGCAAGCAGCAAGCAGCAACAGCGACAATGGGCCGACACTTAAGATACCAATGGAAACCAGAAGGACACCCAATCGCCACTGATTGGTCCCCCTAAGACACGGCACAAACAATGGCCCCGCTTCTTTGAACGCCAAGAAGGCGTTTCCAAATGCAGTTCGTCAGGCTCCCAACATGGTTCAGGCGTTCGCTCCCCAGGGGATTCCCTTGGCCCCTCATTGACTCGTGGCACAACTATATAAGGAAGCGATTGGCTGCGGTTTTCATAGGACCTAACTTCTCTGCCATTTTCACCCCCTCCCCTATCTACGATGGTTTGGAAACACCAGCTCCCGCAGCTTCCCCGCCTCCTCAGCCTTTTGGGAGCTCTCCTGGTAGAAAGCATCGGCTCAAAGAGAAATGGCCGCAGTTCTGCAGGCTTGGTTGGCGAGACCTGTGCAAAGGTCTAACTTTTGCTGGGTTCAATTGGGCAAATCCACAAAGCTTCAACCAACAGGTTAAAGTCCAAAGATGCCACCAAAAAGCAATAAAGCAAGAATCGGCTACACAATTATACCAATCATAATTCTGCGATCGTTTGACTACTGCTTTGTTCCGCCTGCAGGGAAAGCCACGGACTAAGCTCTTATCTGTAGGTGCATCATTAGCCCATGAAGCCCGGAAACAACATCTGAAAACAGAGGATGCCCGAATATAAGCTTGGATGGGGCTTTGGGTGCTGCCAGCAACACGATGTGTGATGAGTCAGCGATGCGAACACAAACCTCATTTCGCCCTTCGCAATGGCATCTCAGGCGATCAGTTGATTGGCTGTGCCCATCTTCTTACCCCTCATGGATGTAGAGCCAAACCACCTCAATTTATCCATTTCTCCATTCTGACTGACTGGGGGTATGTTCTATGGAGTCAAACAATATATCACATCTCCATTTATCCATTGCCGATCCACTGAAAAGCGAATCACTGCTAGAAAGCTTGATCCCTGCCCTCCCCCCCCTAGAAGAAGTATGCTTCCCAGCAATGTATGAATGAACAGCACACCATCTGCGAAGCAACCATAAAGCTCCGCATGCCAACTGGGCAATACGTGCGGCCGGGTCGCCGCGCACACAAGGGCACACAACACACAAACACACACAAGTTCGTAAGTTTGTTGGGGAAGGACACACTTGGGAAAGGCTAGCAACACGAAATCTGCTTGCCACGCTCAAAGCAGCCAAAAGGAAACTGACTTGGCCGTTTCAAGCCGTCAAAGGGCATGTCTAACTCTGGCGCCAAACTCGAGTCCTGCGTGGCCACGAGGGCGTAGTAGGCGCCCTTCTTCTCCATCAGCGTAGCGTGGTTCCCTTGCTCCACGAGGCTGCCGCGGTTCAGCACGTAGATGAGATCAGCGTTACCTCCAGACCATGTTGCTTTTTTTCGGACCCGGTAGCCTTTCTCCAAAGGGAATGCGGGCTGCTTGCAGTACAAACCAAAACGCCCAAAAGACGGGCGCGATCCCAGAATAGCAAAACCCGCTCCAAGGGAAATGATGATATTTTTGAACGGGAAGCGGCCCTCACAATCCCAATGAGAATCTCCTTTGGCCAACACCTCCTCCTGTGTCAGATGCGCATGTATTCTGTACCAACGTTCAGGCTGAAGTCCCTTCGAGAAAAATACGGCCCAGAGAGCCAGTGCTATTTTGTTGTTTTTAGGCTTTTTGTTGTTGTTGTTTTTTCTCCGAGCTGCGAACCGTACTGAGGCGGTGCGCAATGCTCACAATGCCCATGCCGTTGTCCGTCTTTGAGCTGATGCTGTCGATGGTCTGCTGAATCATCTTCTCGGAGGTGTTGTCAAGTGCGCTGGTCGCCTGCAACATTCGGTCTGCATCCCTTTGGAAGATGGTCCTCTTAGAAAGGGGAGCCGCGCGTCCATGTCTCTTAGTGGGTAAATCATCGAGAATGATTTGAGGATGATATTCCAATGCCTCCATCTGGCGGTTTGGGCCGGGTCAGTCGCATTCTGCTGAAAGCGCTGTGAGCGCCACGCTTTCTGCACATCTTTGTGCTGGGAGATGCAAAGATTCAATCAATATACAAAGCGAACAATGACAAGGGCCATTCCGCTATTCATGAAACCCTCAGCAAACTTACCTTATATACTTCGAGTGATCGCCGCTGAGGAAACAAATTGCAAATAAACGCAGTGGCAAACTGCTCAGCACTAGTTGCACTACCTGGTTGGGCCCTTCTGACTGATTTTCTGACATTTGCTCTGACACGGTCCTCCTCGGCATAGATTCTGACATAATTTCTGAAACACATTCCGACATATGGCGGTTGATCAGAATCCCTGCTTCCGGAAACGCAATTGTTGCGAGGAAATCTTCTTCTCCACGAATCTTTCACGACTCCATCGCCACGCCCTTTTGTTTCCAGTTCGGATGGAGGGGTGGGGTTAGGGCCGGGTGGTGGGGGGGTGAACTGAAAAATGGTGGTGCAAGTGGTGAATGTGGTGGGGTTGGGGTGGGGTTTGGGGTGGAGTTGGGGTGGAGACTTAAGGTGTGTGTTTGCTCTGGAGCCAGTGTTACTGCTACAGTTGCGTTTGCAAACCCCGTAACCACACCGCTCACCTGCACCGGCAAGTTGCGCAACGCGAAATGTAAGCAGTCACTATCAATCGCCCTTTCCAGTTGCGCTTGCCTTGACACGCGGAACCTTGCAACATACTCCATGTGGCTTGCGTCGGTCGTTGGCAAATCGTTCGCGAAACTTGCTCCGAAATACCCCACCAACGTTTTGCGTTGCACCATTTGCAGCACAGGCAGGGAATCAAGGACGCAAGTATGCCTCCAAGAAGTTTCGCCAAATCTTTCGTGCAGTGCAAATGCTCTCTTTTGCCGACTCCTTGCAGGCACAAACGTCTGCAGTGCTATGGTCCTCCGCAGCATATGTCATTGCAAGGATCTTTGGATCAACTCCACTGCACATGTTCAGAACTTCTGACATTTTCTGACTTATACTCTGACAAATATGGACGGCTCCTCGGATTGAAATTGGTGATACTGACAACCTTCCCTTACTTGGCAACATTTTCGTTTCCTCATGTGGTCTCCTCGTGTGATCTTGATCGGTCACTCTCCAGCGTCAGCACAGAGTGCAAAAGCGTGTTATATTCCGACAAAAATACTCTGACGCATATTGGCATAAATCATGACATGCGTTCTGACATCTTCTCCGCATATATTGACCGACTATCTGATATTTTCTGGCCTTGTAAGCCTGAAACAAGGGATCGATCTTTACCATGCTGAGCTCGCTGGAAAACCCCAGAGCTCGCTAAAAAAATATGCAGATGAATCAATACTATGAAGACATAACATATTAGGGCACTTCTAGCATATAAATATACTCTAGCACATTGTCGGACATGTTTCTTGACGTAAAATCTGACGTTTTCCCTGACATAACCTGTGGCACAGCTTCTGATACTAATCAAGCCATATTTTCTGACATTGCTCCTGAAATCTGGTCTAAAATGTTCCTTGGCAAAGATTCTGACATTCATTTTGACATAGCTTCTGACATTTGCTCAGATCAATATTCTGACAAAGCTGTTGCTGTTCTCCCTGACACTTTCGGACTTTTTCGCGGGCAAGTATCCTGACACAAAACCGAACGACTTTGGTGACATAGACTCAAACAGTGCGGCTTCTGGCATAGTCTGACATATCTTTTAACATGTCCTTTGGCATCTATTCTGACGTCTTCCTTGACACATATTCTGTCATATTCTGTTCTGACATGTTCTCGATGTGTTCTAGCAGAACTTCTGACGAGAATTCTGACCAATCGTCTGACCTGAAACCTGACCCTATGCAGCTGACCGCGCGGCCAAGGCTTTTCGTGGACCGAAGCTGTCAAGTTCAGCCCCAAAACCTGGTTCTCTTTGCCTGAAAACGCCAGCTGAACCCCAAAATCTTGCTTTCCTTTTCTGCCGGTTTGTTCAAAAGTCTAGGGGGCCAATTGCTTCTCATCTGACTTGTTCAACCGCACACCCGGGGCCCCCCGCCCACCCCCCCGGCCTCATCCAGGAACAGGAAGGAGGCCTTCTTCAGCAAGGCCCGGGCGATGGCAATGCGCTGCTTCTGGCCACCGGAGAGCTGGCCACCTCCAGCGCCCACCTGAGGCCGAGCCGGTTGCTGCGGTCGTGAATCATTCTAGTACCTTCCAATTCCATGAAGGAACCCAGGGATCCAGATAGAAAACCTCCGGAAACCCAGCCTTCGAAAAGAACGATGCTTGGAAAGAATGAAAAATCAACCCTTTGAGTCATTGAAAATAGTTTCCCCCAAAGGAGACAAACCCAAAGGCGTCTGGCGACAATGCCAGAATCCAATGACTGTCCTCCTTCATCGTCCCTCTTTACTGTGTCCTCTTTCCTTATGCAGTTGGCTAGCGTTGGTTCAGGATTGGTTGTGTGTTGGCTTTCTCATAGGCAACTAGAACATGGACATGACGCCAACCACATAGTTTGCATGGCCCTAAACATACCATAGATACTGTGAACTTCGTTCAAGCTTGCAAACTTGCAGGGCCGCGACTCTCAACTGGCAAGCAATGCGCACTGCCTGGTTCTGAACCTCTGAGAAGTCAATCATGAAGCAACGTAAGCCTGCATGACAAACAGAACAAAGAGTTGTTTGGCCACCTGTTTCTCGAGTTTTAGGGCTAGACACAACACGACATGTGCTTGATGTGCAAAAACACAGGGGCCAAGCAAACATTGAGGACTCTTGGTCTCTTGGGACTCTCTTGTGTTGAGCCGTGAACCCAGCTGCTCACTAGGCGCTGTTTACGCGCTGCGGTATGATTAATTCACGACAGTGTCCAAGTCGAATCTTCAATAATCGCTGCAAAAGGACAGGTGCAGCAAACGTTTGTTCAAGTGTTTTCGGGCATTTGCTGTTGGTTGAGGTATGGGAATTCGCATGTCAGCAAATTGTATCGACCGTTGATGATGTGTACAAAGCAATTCACCTGTAGATTGTGGCAATGAACACTCGGCAATTTCTGTGACATGCTAGATTTGAATGACATGTTAATTGGTCCATACCCATCTAATAACAAGCCCAAAAGAAACCAGGGCTGTCCTCAGATCAGATCTGCTAAAAGTCGACAACTGTTAGTGGCTAAAGTTGGAAACCCAACCAACCAAACAAACGAAAAAGCAAAAACCAAAGAAAAAAAAGGACTCGGATGCCTGGGTCCCGGCCACCCAGAAACCAGGCGCCGTCTAGAGGATTGGTCAAGCCGCGAAGGTGTTGTACTTCTCCGGGAGGTTGTCCACAAAGCCCAGCTGAGCATCGGCACAGGCCTGGACAAAGTCCTGGCACCAGAGTCGTGCGCGATCCGCTATGCTTGAACGCCTCTAGAGAACAGTTTGGATTCGCGCTCTTGCCGCGGATTCTTCTTTATGTTGGTCGGTTTCTTAGCAGTCTTTTGGTACTCTGTAAACAAATTCCGAGGGTGGATCCACAAAAGCCTGATCCAAACGAAATGCTCTGGCGCCTTGGCTCACCTTCTACAGATTCACTACCAGCAATTTTGCGCCCAAATCCATACCAAAGAGCTCCCAACACCAAGCCTCTGTGCTTTTCTGGTCCAGAATCGCGCGCCAAAAGGGGTAATGAACTGCCCCAAGACAACTCCACCATAGCTCTTAGATTCTTCCACCTCCGTTCGCCTGCGCTGTTTTTCCGGTCGCTTGGATCCGATGGCTTACCCATGCTCGCCTCTCGGGCGCGAGCCGAGAAGTCTCGAGTGAAAACCCCAAAACGGCAAGCCCAAATTGGAGCCTCCAAAACGGCGGGTGTTTTTTGTTTGGCTCCCTTGAAAAAGCCACGGTTGTTTCTGCGGCAGACCCTAAAAACCATCCACCGGCACCCCATTCCGACATGATCGTCTGACCAAATTCGCGCATGTAGGTTCTCGATTTTTGTTCGTTCCGCTAACCAAAGGCGAAAAGGGACAGAGACCCTGTTTCCGTGTGTTTGGCCAAAACCCAAGCGTTTGCATCCCTTCTTCTTCCACAACCCATGCCAACCGTCTGCACGACGGCCGACACGTCCTCCTTCGAGGCATCAGGGCAGCCCTGCATGATGTTGTGCTTGATGGAGCTCGCAAAGAGCACAGGCTCCTCCAATCCAAATCCGAGAATCCACACATCCACAAGGGCCAATGAAATTGTCTGGTTCCCCTCATACCTCCCAGCCTTTTCACCAAGCACATGAACCTGACGGGGGTTCTGGTTCCCTCCCACCCTTTAACATGGAACGGTTCGACGTAAAAGGTCAGAAGGGGGGTTCTGGTGGTTTGGACCATTCTCAACTTGTAAAGGGACCGGGTCCTGCGCCCTGAACGTCGAACGGTTCCATGTTAAAGGACAGAAACGCCAATTTGGTTTGGAAAAGATAGGCTCCAAGTGCAGAGCACCCTTGAATTAATTCTTATGGCTGTAGCCCTTTGGAGAAATTCCAAAAGTTCTGGGACTCCCAATCTTAAATGCCCTAATGCCACTCGAGTTCCTGAAAATCGTCTCGTGTCTTTTGGACAAATCAGCAGGGTCCGCTGGTAAGGAGCCAAACCGAAAGCAGGATCCAGAAGAGTGCTTTTTCAGCCCCCCAACCAAAAAGAATACCAAAAAGAAACGTGGTGCTCCTTGTTGTTGTTCTTTTCAAAGCCACCGGAAAGGGAACGGTGTTTTTGTTTTTTTAACTAGGGCTGGTTTTTTCCTAGGGCTAGTTTTCCGCAGGGCAACATCCCCAGCATCACCAGCATCACTTGGGAGTTGCTGGGGGCTGGATAAGTTAGGGGGCTGTTGGCTGGCTTAGATCTTCATGAGGGTGGGTGTTGGGTAGTTTGAGGTTGATTTAGGCGAAGGGAAGGGCCGACATCGAGGCTGCTGTTGGGTGGGTTTAGGGTTGAGTGGGTTTGGGTTGGTTTGGAGCTGATTTGGGTTAGGTGTGCTGCTGGTTTAGCAGCAGCTTTAGGGTTGCTTTAGGTGTGGTTAGTGAGTTGTGGGCGAGTTTTGGTGGTGTGGGGCAACGCCAAAATCAACCAAAACCACCCCAACACCCACCCTCATAAAGATCTAAGCCAGCCAAAAGCCCCGCTAACTTAAGCATCAGACCCATAGGCGGCCCCAGGGCCAAGTGAGGCTGGTGATGCCGATGATGCGGCCAACCAACAACCAACCAACCAGGGCTAGTACAAAAAACCAGCCCCAGGAGAAAAGAAAAACACCGGATCCCGGAAAAGCGCCCCTTGAGTTGGACCCGGCCAGACCGACCGCCAAAGCTACTGAACCAGAGCTACATCACCAAGCTTTTCACAGGTGGACATGTATCACGCGAACTCGACATGCGCTGTCTCGGCCAGGGCAGAAAGGCGTGCGATTCAGCCGTCTTCCCTTTGTTCAATCTTCACTTCTGAGTCGAGAATGATGGTCTTTCAGTGACTTTCCGTCAGGCTCCACATAAGGTGGGAGAAAAATGTTTCCAGCGATATCAAGAGCGACGCAGGCACATCACAAAACTCGCCATGTAGCTGACACAAGGGCACTCTCCCCAATAAATGGCTTGCTTCTGCTGAAGCCGTCCAACTGCGGTCCCTCTATTTCACCCCTAGACTTCGGTCCACCAGCAAGCTCATTTCAAAATGGCAGCACACCGGGAAGGCCTCGGTGAGCTTTTAAACCGGCACACAGGCAAACAGGACAAATCAAATCCCCAACCAATCCAAACCAACGAGGGCTAACCCGGGTATGAATTCTACTTCGGGACCCTTTGCCAGCCGCTTTTAAGAAGGACTCTCCATGAAAATCCAGAGCCACCTGACTTCCTTCCTGGGCTCAACCCTCCCGGTCCCTTCAGGGTTGCCCTTCACGGACCCGCGCCTGGCCCACGTAGCCAATGCAGCGCCGGAGGGCGCTGACCTTGAAAGTCTTCATGTCCTGAACGGAGCCATCCCCCATCGGCCGAGGAAACTACCGGAGAACCGCTGAACCAAGAACTGGTCAACAAGGATCTTGGGCCATTCCATGAATCTATGAGTGGGAACTCCACTTGTGTCGGTTGCTCCCGGTTGGATCTTTTGGTTGAAACTCCACTTGTGGATCTTTCGATTCGAATCCATAGTTGCTGTATTCTTCCCGAAAGATTAACAGGGTTGATTTTGTTTTAAACCCAAAACGCGAAACCATGTCATGTGAATTTTTCAAGTTTTAGTTCTGCATGGGCGGCTTGATATCGTGGTTAGGTATTCCAAACGCCGATGACAGAAATATCTCAGCCTTCCGGGCCAAACACACCAGAAAGCTATCAAACATGTCTTGTTCGGGGAGCTGCTTATAGCCTATAGTCGTAGTCTATGGGTTGACCTCTACGATCCACCAAATACTTCAATAGACAGGAGCGCACAAAATGTTGGGGTCATTTCCCCCAACAGCTTAGTGGATGACTGGCGGCAGAAAGCAAACGGCAGATTGAGTAGTGCATTCCTTTTGGTTTTCCTTTGACACTTACCAACCAGGGGAACCGGAAAGAAAAAACAAAACATCAACCGCATGAGGCGGTGTTCCCCCTGGATCATGGCCTCAGAGAAACAAGTGCTGAAGCCCCATTTGATGCCAGCAAGCAGTTCATGTCCTTAGGAAATGAATGCTGAAAAGGGACACCATGTTGGTTTTGCCTTCCAACTGAAAAGGGCTCTTTGAAAGACAAACGCCATAAGCATGGAAGCCCCATATCCCATTTCCAGACACATGGACATATCGGAAAACAAGTCTAAGCCTGAATTTCCAGGGCGCTGGGGTACGAGCCCGACAGTTGGTAGCCTCCCACTGACTAACATGGAAGTGCACAGACCCCTATACAAAGACGACTTTCCTGGAGGAAACGGGCCAAATGTGCACTTCCATGTTGGTTGGTTGGAGGGTACCAAAGAAAATCTATGGTGCACGTCAGGTTGGTTCTGCCACACACCGGGTACCGATCAAAAACTGAAGGGACCGTCGCTGAGCTTTGTGAACAATGTTAGCCATGAAAACCCAGCCATCTGCAGGTTTAACCAAAGCCTATGACACATTGAGAAGGACAAGCGAGGCTGATCAAAGAAAACACATGACAGTGCTAATTGGCCATAAAAGGTGACTTGTACTCTGCTCTGCTGAAACTGCAGGTTATCCATGCTATTTTTCACAGGTCCCAGGTCAATTTACGCGGAACCTACGCGGTGGTCAACAGGTCTCAAACCACTGCAAGCCACCTCTCTTGTCAGAACGGGGACTGTTCATTCTTGAGATAGGGGCAAAACCTCCTCTTCCAAACGAGTCACTGCCCATGATGGGGACCAGGGATGCTTCGAAAATAAACTCCCACTATCAAACGCCAAAACAACGCAAAATGTCTGCTGCATGGTGCGGAAGTCGACCAACATGAGCTGGATAGTTGCACAACCTCATCAACTGCCCGTTGGCAACATTCAACCCAATTGCTACGCTCTGAACAAAAATCTGGCTCGAAGTACGGCTAATATAGTATGACATGCCCGTTTCAGAACTCCATACCGCTTGCAGCCCGCATTACCCATCCTGGCCGTTGACCAGCACAGTGCCAGTGTTGGGATCGTAGAAACGCTCCAGCAATGCCATGACGGTAGACTTGCCGCTACCGCTCTCGCCAACCACGGCTACCTTCTGACCGCGGGTGATTGACATCGACAGGCCGTTCAAGATCTTGACTTCCGGCCGGGCCGGGTAGTAGAAGACCACGTCCTGCAAGAGCGGCCATCTTCCCCAATCCCCTTTGGATGTGCCTTTTGGGACCTCCCGGAATGGTGGTGTTCCTTTGGGTTGGTCCAAACTCGCCCGCATGTCCCTCCAAAAAAGGACCGCCCCAGGCTGGGCATCTTCCCACCTGCAGCTCGAGCTTGGTGATGCTCACCAGGTCTTGCCGCTGATCGTTGCCAATGCACTGCACCTCCGGCTTGTTGTCTTTCACCTGGTCGACAACGAATTCGCAGCGACAACAGATGACCCTCAGGGCAATGCGCGGAGAGGGGCCCCCGAACAGATGGTTTCCGTACATGCCAACCAAAAGGGGGGTCCGCCATGTTGAGAAACTCCCACGACGCACGAACGATGAACCAACGGTAACGCTTTTCGGCCTCTTGTTGAACAAGACCGACATAGTGGTACCTATTATCAAAAGATGTTTAGTTGGAAAACTTCCGGTACGAAAAATTGAAACAGCAGAGTCGTGCAAACAAAGACGGAAGGAGAGACAAAAATACGAGGAAGAAACACAAAGAAAGAGGTAGAGAAGGAAGTGTCTGGTAGGCACAGCATATTGCGTTAGGCGAGATTGCGAAGGCTACCTCTGCTCTGCAGGTACGCCGCAGGTACGCCGCGGGTTCGCCGCGGGTTCGCCGCGGTCTGGGAAGTTCCCCAATGGCCTGCGCGTGCATATGGATCGGACGTGCACATCGCGTGGCAGGCGCAGCACTTTGGCAACCTGATGAGGTGTAGATTCCGTGGCAGACGCAGCACTTTGTATCCAATGGCCTCAGAACTCGTGACAGGCGCAGCACTTTGGGAAGCTAAGTCGCGTGGTTTGCAAATCGCGTTGGAGTGGAACTGCTGCGTGCCGAATCCGTGGCAACCGCATGATTTTCGCACCCTGAGATGCAGATGTTGTGGCAGCTGCAGCACGTTCGCAAGGGGCCAAGCACAAATTGTGCGGCAGGCGCAGCACTCTCGCAAGGTCAAGTACAGATTTCCTGCAGCCGCAGCACTTTCGCAAGGTCAAGGCAGGCGCAGCGATTTCGCAAAGTCAGGTGCAGATGGATAGATAGATAGACAGACAGACAGACAGACAGACAGACAGACAGACAGACAGACAGATAGATAGATAGACAGATAGATAGATAGATTAGATTAGATAGATAACTAGATAGATGAATAGGTAGATAAATAGGTAGATAGATAGATAGAGCCACTGGAAAGAGGTAGAGAAAGAGGAAAACAGAAAGTAACAAAAAAAAAGGAAGAAATACATACGGGCATACAAGAAGAAGGGAATAAAGAAAGATGGGAATAGAGCAGGAAGTAGAGACAGAAAAATGAAAGACAAAAAGGAAGAAAGCAAGAAAGAGAGAGAGAGAGAAACAAAGAAAGAAAGAAAAAATAGAAAGAACACAAAAAAGAAAGAAGGACATAAAGAAAGAAAGGATGAAAGAAAGACAGAAAGGAAAGACAGAAAGAAGGGAATAAATAATCCACAGAAGAAAG